ATATATATATATATTTTTATATATAGATATATATATATATATATATATATATATATATAAATATATATATATATATATATATAGATATATATATATATATATATATATATATATATATATATATATATATATATATATATATAGATATATATATATATATATATATATATATATATATATATAGATATATATATATATATATATATATATATATATATATATATATATATATATATATATATATATATATATATATATATATATATATATAGATATATATATATATATATATATACATATATATATATATATATATATATATATATATATATATATATATATATATATATATATATATATATATATATATATATATATATAATAAAAATACAAGATTTAGATTATAGAATTAATGTTGAAATTTATCATAAGATAAGACATTTGATTGGATAAGCAATAATGTTAAAATGAATATATAAAATAAGATGCATTAGTCCAAAAAGCACGTTCAGAAGCTGGTGTTGTCGACACTGAATTATAAAATAATTAAATTAATGTAATTCAACTTTGACAGGAGAGAATTAAACTAACTGTACTGGTAAATAAAGTGCAGTCAAGCTATTCAACATTCTAAAACTTATAAACAGAATTATTGTTATTATTTTATTTTTTTATTTTTTATTCTAGTGAGAGAAGCAAAGAATGTTGTATGTTGTTGTATGCATTGCATTACTTCTAAACAAATCTTCATTCTTACATTGGACCTCATAAAGTTTCAGACATATATATATATAATCATCCTCAAGTAAGGAATAAGCTTTTGAGGAAGCAACCTAAAAGGAGATATGGCTTATATATATATATATATATATATATATAGGGTAATTTACAATCATCCCCTGAGGAATGGTCAATTTATGAAAAAACCCATCTTGTTTGGATAATTACATCTACCCCTCAACTATGATTTTTTCTTACACCTCCACCCTTATGGTGTCAAGTTCAATATAATCATCTATATTTAGTGGAATGTGCTCTAATTTGTACTCGTTTTGTGCAAAAATACAGTTTCTGATGCATCACAATCTGATATATATACAAGTCAAAAAACACATATTATGATCATCTTGCTTCAAAATGTAGAGTTCGAATGAGATAAAATGGGTACAAAAGTGATAATATTCCATATAATTTCGAAGATTCCAGTTAAATTCAAAACCGCAAAGGTGGTTAAGGGGTGGTTGTAATTACCCAAACATGAGGGGAGGTTTCGTAATTTGACCATACCTTAGGGGTGGTTGTAATTTACCCAAAGTTTTTAGGGAAAATTAGAGAAAACCCCCTCATCTAGGAAAATGAGTTAACGAAACATCCCCCTAGCTCCCAAAAATAATTAGAGAAAACCCCCTTAGTTAATATTCCACCCATGTGATATTTTCATAATTCCAAAACTACCCTTAAGTGTCTATTATAGTATACTCTTTCAAAACCCTAATCTTATTTTTAATTTTTCATCCGCCGCTTTCACGTTACAAATTCTCTCTCCTTCTCTGTCTTTTTTTTTTTTTTTTATTTCCTCTGTTTTCTCCGGCAATCTTCTCCGCCGCCGTCGCTGGAAGATGGAGAAAGAAAGAAGAGGAAGCACCCATCAAACATTATAAATAATTTTGATAGTGATTCTGAATTTGAATGCTAGGATTGCTACATCAGCGGCGTAACGAGCTAAAATTATCGATTTGTTGCTGGAATCGAATTTTGATGGGTGGTGGTTTTGCTTTGGTTGGTGGTGCGAGTTGTGATTTTATTTATTTATTTGTAATAAAAGACCGTCATAATATCAAAGTAAGGTGGTGGGTGTGTTGTGGCGGTGGTGTGGTAACGATGTGATGACGATGCAAGAGGCAAATTTATGGTTTTTTGGTGGATCGGGCGGAGAACGGCGCGTGTAGATAATTTCGCGCAGGCTGAAACCTTAATCGACTATGTACATGTTCATAGTCGATTAAGCTAATCAACTATGCTCTGGCAGTCGATTAAGGTTGATCGACTTCAATTTTTTTATTTTTTTTGATTTTTTTGTCTATTGATTCCAATTGTATAAATCATTTATAATGTTTGTATATTTTTTGTTTTTGTAATATATAGTTGATTTTGCATTTTTCCGTAGTTATGATTTGTTATTTTTAGTAGCAGATTCTTAATCCACTATGCTTCACATCATAGTTGATTAATATGCTTCATTGACTCCAATTTTTTATTTATTTTTTGAATTTTTTGTTTATTGATTCCAATTGTATAAATCAATTATAATGTTTGTATATTGTTTGTTTTTGTAAAATATAGTTGAGTTTGCATTTTTGTAGTTGTGATTTGTTATTTTCAGTAGTCGGTTCTTTTATCGATTATAGTTCATCATAGTCAATTTAATATGTTGCATAGTCGATTAACACACCTGATAGAGAAAAAAAGTTAAAAAGGCGAAAAAAAAATTAAAAAAAAATTAACTTTAAAAAAAAAAAATAATAGTAATAATAATAATTAATAATAATAATAAAATAATAATAATAATAATAATAGTAAATAATAAAAGAGAGAGAGAGAGAGGGAGAGAGAGAGAGAGACGGTTATGGGGATAGTGGACTAATGGGTCATGAGAATGTATAAGGTGAAGGGACATAAATGGCAAAATAAGTGGCTAAAATTTAGAGTGGGTTTTTCTCAAATGATGCAAAATAATTTGAATCTTTCTCTATTAAAAGAAGTATTGAGGGGGTTATATCAAAGAGCCCAAGTTTTTTTGTTTGATCATCCACTTGACATGCCACTATACATTTATGTCTTATACAAGAAATATCTGTATTACAATAATATATTTATCAATTTATTGGTCCAAAGAATTATTAAGATGGTAATTAGGTCATTTCGACGTTTGAAGTATTATAGTATATTTCCGAGTGCACTCTTCGTACCGTTGAATTATACATGCTACACCTGGTGCAGTACACCTCACTCACACACACCCATATGGATGTGTGCGTTTTTGCGTGTAGCTGATGTACTTCACTCGGTCAATTTTACCCCTATAATGATGGAGAAGAGATTTACTCGATATTTAACATATTGAAGTTGAATCATATTTCTTGGTGACATATAAAAAACCAAGATTTGGATTATAGAATGTAGAGTTTCAACATAAGATTATACATTTAATCAATTATATTGGATAACAATTTTCAGATGAATTATAAAATAAAATAAAATATGTTAGTCCAAAAAGCACGTTGCGGAAAAAAACCAGAAAGAAACACAAAATAAAATAAAATAAAATGCAATTCAACTTTGACAGGAGAGAAGGAACTAACTGTATTGGTAAAGAAAGTGCAGCCAAGTAGGGGCAGAACCGGGATTTTTCGATCAGCGACCAAGAATCGGAGAGGGTTAATCAAAATCTAAGATAGTTAAATCTAAAAGGCAGAAATAATAATTTTATTTTAAGTGGGCCAATACATAAGCATTTGTAAATAAATAAATAAAATCAAATATATAATAGTAATATATCAACCCAATTATTGTGTGTATCCAACA